GTATATGGTGCCTATTGGCCTGTTGATGAATGTGATTTTCCTGTATGTTGTGGGGCGCATCAAATCCATGCGCTCTATCGTTAATGTCTACTTGGGCAATTTAGCAGTGGCAGATAGCCTGTTTCTCACAGTTCAACTCATTTCTACAACATGGACTCGTGCAAGTGGAGTGCGTTTTGTCCTTCTACGTTCTCTTGCCGGCTTAGCCAACTTTGCATCCTACTTCATCGTAACAGCTCTGGCTATTGAGAGATTCTCTGCTGTGCACCATCCACTGACATTTAGAATGGTAGCCAGCAAAAGTCGTGCTGCCAAGATAGTGGCAGTACTGTGGGTGCTTGCAGCAACCTTAGGAATTGGAGTGACCCTGACGATCCACTGGGGAGGAAAGATTGGAGCAACCATTTGTTTTGTTCCTGTCATTTTCATTTACACAACCGGTCTGTTCATCAATGCCTCCCTGTATGCTTGTATTGTCAAGAAACTTCAAAGACAACCAGAAAATATTACATCAACAAATCCACACCAAAAACTGCGCCGGGTAATTGCCATGCTTGTGGTAAACACTGCTGTGTTTTTCACCCTTAACATTGTGTTCATAATCGAGGTCACAATGGCATTAAAAATAATGTGGTCTAATCTCTCTGCTTTGAATAAAATCAAAGCTCAGCTTTCAATGGTTCATTTAAACATTGTTGGGACAATTTTGTTTATGCTGAATTCTTCAGTTGACCCTCTGGTATACAGTGTCTTCAATGCTGACTACCGGACAGCTTTAAAGGAGGCAATTCCCTGCCTTGATACTAAACGCTACTGTTGCTGCTTCTGCTTCAGCTGTACCAAACAAAGCCGAAACACCCAACAGGAGCCAGAAGAGCAGATTGAATTGCAGGAAATTCACGGAACACCAAATCAAGATGGTCACTGTCTTGCTGCTGTTGCCAGTGTTGTCATTCTTGATGCATCAGATCAGAGCGGATTGCAAGACGGTCACCACAAACCAGCTCAACAGACATGCTCTCTGGCTGATGTTGCTGTTGTTGACATTGTTGATGAAACAGAACAGATTCAATTGCAGGAAATTCACAGTGGACAAACTCATGAGAAGCGGTCTCTTGCTGCTGTTGCTGCTGTTGCCATGAATGGCATATATGTAGTTGATGCAACAGAGCAGATTGAACTGCAAGACATGCACCATGAACCAACCCAACAGACATGCTCTCTCCCTGATGTTGTTGGCACTTTTGATGAAACATTTTGTTGATACATGTAGAAAAGAACAAACTGAATTCCAAGCAACTCACCGAGAGCCGGTATCAACAATGGAACAATAAGGTATAAACAAGAATGTCTCTCAGCATTTTGCAGAAAAAAAATCAGATAAAACCTGGACATATGTGGCTGAATGTAGTCCACGTAAGAAGAGTTCACTATCTACCAAAGTCACAAAAGATCTTGTCAACAATACACCACAATTTTCATGAAGAGATAATTTCCTATTCTCTCAGTACACAAAATTTACCTCTTCCTGAAAAGTGTGACGAATAACACAAAACCCAATGTGCCTAAATAAATCTCTCTTTTTAGGGGGTGGGGCCCCAAAAATGTTGGTTATTCATAGAATGATTGTCAGACATGGGAAAGAATAATGTGCAAATTTCAGACAAATTGTCCCAAAGCAACGAGGAAAAACTATTTGATTTATTTAATGTAACACTGTGACCTGAATTGTAACCATGTGACCTGAGTTTGAAAATGATTTGTAGAATTCATTAATGAATGGGCACTAGCATGTTAGTTTCAGATAATCAGTTCAAAACAAAGAAATTGCAGACAATTTTTGGTTCTAGTGTAAGCCATTATGTCAAAGGCTAAAGGTGTTGTGAAGAAACTGTAGAGGCAATTATGTTTAACTAATTAAAAGAATTTCCAAATAAAACCTCAGAGGGAAACTGACTAGGAGCATTATAATAATTTTAAAGTTGAACAAAGAAATGGACTGGAGAACCCCGCTCCACTTTTTGTTGTTCAACTTTTTTACAAAAATGTGTTTAAAAGAAGTGTCTGATAAGTCGTGAATGTTCGTGGTCCATTGGAACGTTCCATTGGAATGGCAGGCGTTCCATTGAGAACGTTCTGTGTTCCCAATGGAACGCTGGGGCGTTCCGCACATTGAATGGAATGCACTGAGCTGCAGTCCAGCTAGAACGGGGAGGGAACACCATGTTCCCAGCGGAACGCTGCACGGCGGGATATTCGCAGTCGAGGATAAGTATGTACATCTTGCGGCGCGTAACTGCAGGACTCAAAGGCGGAGTTTTCTCAAACGCACATCTTTTCTGACAAAGTGTGCATCATGAATGGTAAGCTCCGCTTTTATCATTTTCAATTTTTAGTTAGTAAAAGTATAAAATGGTACAGGTATTAAAAGTATTGTTCTTGCAACAGCATCATTTAACGTGAACAAACAATCACTGTAGTGATTGCATGTGATGTGAGGTTGGGGCTACAGAAATTTCACCACAGAAACGACATGTACATCTGATTACCAAGATTCCATCAACATTCACTTGTAACTTGTGTTAAACTATTTACCCAAACCTAAATAGGAATTTTACAATCACGTCCAAATATTACCTGAATTCTCAAAAACAAGAAAAACCTACCATTCAGTGACGCACGGGTGGCCGGGGATCGGGATGCCATTTTTCCTGACGCAATATGGGCAAATATTCTAAACTGCAGGCCCATCGTATATGTGATATGCTGGGAATGTTCCACTGGAACGCGCAATAGAACGCGTGTTTCTAACCGTTCGGCTGGACTGTTCTTTCAAAGGGATTGTGCCGTTCCAACGGAACAGTCCCCTGTTCCCAATGGAACGCCAGAGCCTTCCAGTCCGGGAACACGCCATTCCAATGAGAACGTTCACTGACTTATGAGACGCTCCCTAATCATGAAGCATTTGCAATGCATTACACTCCAATCCTCTTGCAATTAACATTTTTTCCACTTAAATCTAGATTGATGTGAGAGTGTGTGATGCAATGTACATGTACTTATTAAGTGTTAGCTAGTAGGTGTACCTGTATACACAACTTTCTTTGTAAAATGTTATAATGTAAATTTGAGTATATTGATAAATTGAAAGAGCCTGTGCATTTTTATTACCTCTCATTTACTCAAAACCGGTAGCATCATAAGCTCAAGCTGGATCGCTTGGGTCCTCAATTGACCTATCACCGTTTGCGAGTTAACCACGCCCCTTAGACAACCCTATGGAATTTCGTACATTACTTTTTATTTGTCTCAGATTTTGCGCGTTCCGCGTCCATTTGTATATCATGTAATTGGACAATATTTTAAAAGCTGCACTGACGCGATTCTACTGCGACAGGTTAATTCACTCTCATTGTTTAATTTCCATAAAAGTCTATGTGTACCTAAACTTTTATGGTGGCCCTGGAGGGACATAAGTGGTCGTGAAATTTTTGCCACAAGTCGTGAATTTTTGCGACTAGTCGTGAAATTTTTGCGACTAGTCGTGAATATTTTTGCGACTAGTCGTGAATATTTTTGCAACGTTGTGTTTTTATTCACGACTAGTCCTGAATTTTTTTCATGACTAGTCGTGAATAGGCCTATTTTTCACGACTATTTTGCGACTTGTCGTGAATAAATTCATGCCCATCGTGAAAAAAATCACGACCGGTCATGATTTTGTCGCTAAATTTTTTTCAGTAGCTTTGAGGGTTTTCATCAAACTGGCAATAGAGGGTGTTCGGCAGCATGCAGCACGTGCTATTCATGCAGTCTATGGGCTCCGTGCGTCAACGAAAGAGGGCACCCTTTTACCTAGCAACGACGTCCCATGGGCGGGACATTTAGCTCGTTGCCGCACACCGTTCCTTGTGTGTGCCGCACGTGCACCAGGGGATTTCTACTATGTACATGTACACACAGTAGTACGGCCACGCGGCAAGATGGCGTCGGTCGGTCACCCCCAACTGTTCCTTTTTTGCCGGTGAGGGGGTACTTGTGAATGGAGCGGATATAGTCTCTAATCGTTGATTGATAGTACACCGACTTTAAACAAGAGTATCAGAAGTTCCCGATTTTTTTCCAATGATGTCCAGCGTAGCACTCCGATCAATTAGAATAATGCAGCCTGCATTCGTTGCGCGCGTATCACATCACACATCACATGCATCACACGCGACAAAATAATCCATATACATGAACACATATATATACACACTTCTGTTGAACCCTTCAAGTTACTGGAAAAATATTTACGACAAAAATTCACGACTTGTCGTGACCTTTATTCTCAATTGGTCGTGAATATTTTTGCGACTAGTCGTGAATTTATTCGCAACTGGTCGTGAATATTTTTGCGACTAGTCGTGAAATATCGCGAATAAATTCACGACTAGTCGCAAAAAATATTCACGACTGCTTATGTCCCTCCATGACATAGACTTTCATTCTTTTGTTGGTGTAGAACGATTATCTGTTGTAACTTTCTGATAGCTCTAATCCTTTGAAAAATTGTGATGGTGATTGATGTGATAAGGATGTACACTTTTTTTCATTTGGAAGAAGACAGCAAACATTTACGCCATACCAAGCGATACTGAAGAAGCAGACTTTATTCCTAGAAACTCTGAATACGTGTATCATACTTGTATTGACCAACATGTTTGAATCAATTCCATTGATGAAACAGAACAGACTGAATTGTAGGAAATTCACCATGATCGAACCAACCCAACAGACACGCTCTCTCGCTGATGTTGCTGCTCTTGTGAAACTGAAGCAGCAGACTTTATCCCTAGAAACTCTGAATCTAAACTCTGAATGCATGTATACATGTAAGACCAACACGTTTGAATCAATAACATTCCCTGACTTCTCTGTTCCATTGAGAAAAGTTGTGTTGCCATAACAATAAAAGTAGTAGGCCTGAAGAGTCTTTAGTGCTGAATGTTTTCTCTTACCTCACCCCACTCTCCAGCTGACCAGGACGTGCAGGGGTCCATGTGGCATTCCTGCACTCTATCTGGCTCCAGCCTGGGGTCACAACGCTCCCCAGGCACCATGGTGATCAGGGAATGGGTCAGGGTCTGCTTGCAGGTCACCTGTCTCATCTGGCGCCCTGTGCCGCAGGTCCGGCTGCACTCCATCCACTCTGTCACTTCCCATCTGCACAAAGAAGGGAAACAAAATTCTGATAGAAACAGGGTTCCAACCCAATGACTGCAATCTGGTGTTATAGTCATGATAAGCCTACTCATTCTTCAGCATCCTTTGTTCGTGGTCTGGCTGCACTTCATCATTTCTGTCACCTCCTATCTGCATAAAAGCTGGGGTTTGAACCCAAGACCTTTTAACAACAGTTTCGGTGCCATCTACACATGAGATATATTGAGATATGTCAATTGCCATCCCATCATAGGTCTGGATGTTCCACATCCACTGTGTAACCTCCCATCTACATTAATAATAATAATCGGCATTTAAGAACGCTCTTATTAGTAAACTAAATCACAGCGCTTACAGTATTATTATTACCCCTGATCATTGGGCCAATGAAACATTCCAAATACCATCTCAGCTCCCTGGGGAGTATACAGCTCGATGCTGCCTGTTAGGCGCAAGCAAGCTAATTCAATCACAATAACCATCTCTGCCCTCACAGGTACCCATTTACTCCGGGGTGGAGAGAAGCAATGAGTGACAAAGTGCCTTGCTCAAGTGCACACGCACCATTACCCGAACCCACATGGACTCGAACCCATGGACTCGGACCCACAACCCGCAGCTTTACCCACAGACCACGAATCCAGTGCCCTTAACCACGAGGCTACAGCACTCCACATCTACATAAGAAAAAAGAAAGAGGCTCGTAGCCAGCAAGGGGTTAAGGGTGGGTAATTTTTTACATAAAAAACCCGTCTCTGTAAAAGTGGACCCTTTAATAGAAAGTGCGCAATCAATGCCACAGCTGCTAGAAATCTAAATGTGTATTTAATTGTTCAAAGCATGAATTTGAAATGTGGGCCAGTTGAAGTATTCTTTTTACAGTTATTACCATTAAAACGGACTGCTAAAATAGTGTCAAACTTGGTGTGGGCTTTTGAAATACCACCCTCCCCTCCCACTATATGGGCCGGAGAAAATCATCTGAGTCAGTGTTCGAACCCATGACCTTTCAGCTACAACACAAGGGATCTGTAGGGAACTCATGATGACATTAAGTTATTATGTCAAACAACAAGTACAAAGATGGAAGAAATAATTGGAGAAACTTGACTAGACCAAGGTTCGAACCAAAGACCTTCCTACCACAATTCCAGTGCTGAACTCACAATGAAATATGTTGTTAAAAAGTTAAAATGAGACTGACAAGACACCAGAATAAGCCACATTTTTTTCACAGTCAAATGAGGGCACCGTAACAGTACCTTTGTGGGATGCAAAGAGATGTAAATCCCTGGGTAATTGACCTAAGTTTACATTCCCCTAAGTTTACATCTCCCTATAATTAAAAAATGACATTTTTATACTCTTTAGATTTTAGATTGAAATTAAGTTGCAAAATTGCTCAAAACACTAGATATTCTTCTATTTGTACCCAGAAAATGGCATTCTTATTTATGTAGAGCACTCCGATTCACTCAAACATACGGCTCTTTCGTGCCACACTCTGCACCGTTTAAAGTTCATCAGGGCTAGAGTGTCTCAAGTTAGTTACAACAGGAATGGATGATACACCTTGTAAACCTTTCTAAAAACCTCTGGGTATCTTCTTATGACTAGAATGGGTTTAACTTTTCTTTGGAAACCTTTCATTTTCATGATTTAACAATTTATCTTCTGATTGCAATTTGCCCAAAGTGGTTTTCTAAATTCTTTCAATTCAATCACCCTCCCAGTTCCAGCAAACCCTTGTCACAAACTCCACACAAGGGACTTATACTCCACTTCACTTGATTTATGAAGTTTATGTAAGGTGTAATCCCACCTTCTACTCAAGTTGAAGTCCTTAAAGTTGGGCTTAAAAGAACTGCATGGCCAAGCACGGTGCCAGTCTCATGGGAACTTACTAAGCTAAGGGGGGAGGACAAGGAGGAGGCAAGGTCTAGACCACCCTGGAAAACGCTGGCTTCAGGCCAAACAGAAAAGAGAAAAGTGGCAGCTTGGACTACTCACAGGCAGCAGAACATGCACTTAGGCAAGACATGCATAACTTATAATGATTAATGTTCCTGGTGATTCATAGTTTATTTCTTGTCCAATTCCAAGAGATGGAGTTCACCTCGATGACTTGTTCCTGTTGTTTTTTTCGTTTCTTTTCTTTTTTTCTCCTTTTTAATTTCTTTGTAACATATTGATGAGATGCGGCTTGCTACATCCTACAGGCATGGGAAGGGGGGGGGTATGGTCTTGGTTTCAAGACGTCCTTATTGTTTCAGCACGCATGGGTTATTGGACTAAGCAGCGATTCACAGAAGCGGGCGCACTTTATACATGTGCGAACAAGCCAGGAAGTTCTTTGCATGCGGTTTGTCGACTGAGTCAGGTTTGGGGTGGGGACAGAACACCCTCTATCGGGAGTCAGGACAACATGCAACATGGGGTGTAGAGTAGGTCAATGCTGATATGAGTGCCATGTTCCCCTCTCAAAAAAAATCCTGGCCACACCCTTCTTTGCAAGTTGGCATTAACAGAGGCAATGTTACTGTGCCAAGTAATATACAGATTTTCTTGGATGATGGTCAATTTTTCTGTGCAAAACATGCCTTGGGAAGGTGGGAGTATTTTGTAGAGTCCCTTTTAAAGTCATTACTTTCAAAGACCTAAAATTCTCTTTCAGCAAAAGCGAATTTTAACAACCCCTCTTCAGTTTCCTTGACTGTAGAGATGACAGGAGTTCCTGCTGCTCCATATACGCATGGATTTCCTCAGTTGAATCCTAGTTAATCCATTAAGCTCACCCCAAGAGTATCCCCTGCTTAACCCCTTCCCTCTCCCGAGAACTAGGACTTGAAATTGAAGGACTGAATGAAGCAATACATTTGGTGACGACAGTCCTGTTCATGTGTGTCATCGGTGGAATAATGGGGTAAGGGATTTCAAGAGGGGATAGGCACAATTTCAATAGGGCTGTGAGATTGTCTCTCTACGGAGTTTCTTCCATATGTCGGGATATTGTTATATAATGGCTTGATTGTTTCTCAACATGAATGCAGCCCTACTCAAAATCACATCTGTCAGCCAATTCAAAGATAATTGTTTAAGGGTAAATTGATGTCAAGTCTCGATCATCCCATTAACACTTTGACATTTTGGGAGGGTTTGTAAAAATGCTGTTACTTTCACATCAAGGCAGATGTCCATATAGATGTAGGACCACCACTTTCTCTCAAGGGCGGATCCAGGGGGGGGCCAAAGGGGGCCATAGCCCCCTCCCCCCCCAAAAAAAAACGAAACCAATTTTTTTTTTTTTATGTGACATCGCAATAAAGGCAGGCAATGAGTACACCACCATCTTTTCCTCAAAAAAAAACATTGGTTAAAGTGGTCAGAAATTGCCTCAGATCGCACCACAGAGCATCTAGAATCCAAAATATTTTCGGGGCCCTTAAGCGGGCCCCGAACCCCACGCCGTAATTTTTTTTACCCACTTTTTTGGGGGACCAAAATTTTTTTGGCCCCCCCCCCCCAAAATTGTGTTCTGGATCCGCCCTTGCTTTCTCTCATCCCTGGGTAAAAAAATGTCAGATAAAAAATAAAATGCTCGCTTTGAAAAGAATGGATCATCATGACTTGAAGATGTGAAAATTTATATGGGGTCGCTGTGCATAAAACTATAAACAGAGGTTATGGAACAATATCATGTTCCTGATTCAAATTACACTACGGACATTTGTGAGGAAACATCACCCCTCTCGTAACAGTTGATAACTTTCTTCATTTACCTACGATCAGCCCCCTTTAGAATGCAGCATTAATGATCATCGATCATTCCCAAAATTAAAGATCAACTACTATAATTGTCCTGCTTGAGAGACTGTTAATTGCACACAACCGCAGGTAGATCTCAATTATCAATGCATATCTTTCACAACTGCCATATTGATGATCTTATTATTAGAGGAAGGACAGCAACCCAGAATTACTTTCAGGCCTCATCAGAAGCATCTTGGACCACCAATACTTCCTCTGTTGATGGAGAGTGACGGAGTTTTAAATATCTGACAGCGAATCCTAGAGATCACAAGGAGACTGCCAGGCACAATTAGCGAGGAAAACGTGGTGTATCTTAAAGGATGAGGGTACAAGGAAATTGGCAATTCCAGTACTTCATGGGAGAGGACACTCCTAATGAACCCAATCCTCATTCTAGCCTTGAGGGTTTCCACTGTTGTTTCCCATCACTTGAGTAAAATGTTAGCTTTTTACTGATCGATCAATGAAATATACAGAAAATTGGGGTTTTTTTTTGGGGGGGGGGGGGAATTTGAACTTAAATGAGAGAGTGGTTAAGGTCAGTTTGGGAATATACAACTGATTCCAGCAGTAACAAAACACCTTTTTCAAACAATTTGCACGAACCTTTAGTGTCCCAGATTGTAACAACGATCAAAAATCATGAAAAAATCATGAAAATTCTGCCTTCGAGAAAGATTCAACTCGGGTCGGTCTAGGGTCACGCCCTCTAACTTTTATGATTAGAAAAAATATACAACTTTTGCCGCCAAGAAAAATCCTGCTAGGATCAACTCCGGGAAAAAATGCAATGATGGATTGACAATGTTACTGGTCGTGATTTGCTCACTTCATCAGACATATTGCTTGACAAGCCAGGCAAGACAAAATCTGATTCACAACATAACAGAACAATGTTTACTGCTGTGATGTGGAAAACTGTATAGTTCGAAAAAAAATCCTTGGGGTGCATGGCACCCTTAGGTGGCTCCCTAGGCGAAGCCCCAGGTGCCGTGTGCCCTTTGGGTGTTAAAAAATGTCATGTTCCATATCACAGCAGTCAACAATCGCTAACTTTGTGATGTCTGTGTTTTTGTTATTCACCTTAAGTTCACTGGGAGTCAAAGGCTGGTTTTACCATTCCCCCCAAATAAATTGTGAAAGAGGGTTTTCCTTTGCTTACACACTAAGTCAGTACTCAGTACGTGTCTGCACAATTGCCCAGAAATCTCCAGGAACAGTATGTGAACAAAACAGGGCAGTGTCAGAATTTCCTCAGACGTCAGACAACAAATCAAGACTAGTGATATTTCAGACTAAACAAAACCGACAAAAAAATATATTTCTGACCCACTAGCAAATTTGTACCCTTTTGTTAATCCCTGGAACTTGGGGAAGCTGACAATGTGAGTATACAATGGGCTAATCCGGTGGGAATTCAAAATGTTGGATTGGTGTGCTATTGATATATTGTTGAGGTTATAGGAACAGGCCTCAGGGGAAAAACTTGAGCAATGGAATTAACACCTGATATGGACATGTATACACTGCTTCAATCACTGGCACAAAACTAGGCCTATACAGGCTGTCCCCAAAAAAGTTGTGCAGGCAGATATATCCTTTAATTTCTCAAAAACTACTTAACATGAGTGTTTCATCTTGATGGAGCATTATTTATTATACTTAATGTGAATAATCAGTGAAAATGCCATGGAAATTCGTTCATGCAAACCAGAGATCTAACAGATTGTAACAGGCTATGGTTTTTCACCCATTCCAATGGGATTTACACAGTTAGTGATATCAGTGCATCAGATTGTCATGGGCCTTTTCACTCTGATGTAAATTAAGTTGACTGTGTTAATTCCATCCCATTGGAATGGGTGAAAAACCATAGCCTTTATTATTTATAATCTGTTAGATCTCTGGTTTTGATGAACGGATTTCCATGACACTTTTACCGAATATACACAAGAGTATAATTAATATTCTCCATCAAGATGAAAATACTCAGCTTAAGTAGTTTTGAGAAATTAAATGATATCTGCTTGCACAACGCTTTGGGACGCCCTGTACATGTACACTGCATGACTTTATGGTCCTTTTGTGAATACTTGTCACAAAACCAGTCCTTACCAAGTTAAAATCCACTGTTCTATCGTAATAGCTCATGTTAGTGATATGCCCTGCCCCCTTAGAACACCCCCCCCCCCCCTCATGTCAAAGAAGGAAATATGCTTCAGTCTGTCTCTTGATTTTTTTGTGGGGGAGATGGTTTTTACGATTTCACTCTATTCAGAGAGTTACAGTATTTGCATCTCTGATAAAGCTACAACGGAATTCCCTGAAGTGGAATAAATCCCCCATTGTATCACCTTACACTATAAATCAAATTTGATCAGCCAGACCTTTTTTTTGGGGGGGGGGGGGGATTACCAGTGAGAGCATAACTAAAGACCTCTGGATAGAAATAACTTACTCTCAAGACTCTAGAGAAAAAGTGACTGATTCCTACACACACACAAGACATTAACTGGAGTAAAATCCAATTAAAGGGAAAATACAACATTTGCAAACATCAAAAAACTAAATGATCAAATTATCACGAAATCCCTTACTGAATTGTCAGGGACTGACAGTCTTAAAAATCCTTTAAGATCGTGGCTCCTGGTGGGCTGACATTTTCAAGAAAAACGGTATTTTTCCAACGCTGGTCGGCCGACCAGCTTTGGAGAAAACTGGCTTTTTTCAAAAACTGTTCTTACTTTTTCATATTTAGTTATTCTGACTTTTCCTTGCAATTGATTACACACCTGTGAAGGGGTACAAGCCTGCTAGACTGATTCTCTGACCTTACAATTTCCCCAAAAGTGTATTAATTGCTTCGTTTCATCTTAAGTGGGGTCAGGGAACCAGACTTCAAGAACATGATAGGTTTTCTTGGTTTTTCCAGCATCTACAAGCCCAAAAACATGAAACAAGTCAGTTTAACAAGTATATAACATACTAATCCTCCAAATCCATTTATTTCTGAAAATTGCAGCAAAAGCAAATGTTGTACATTCCCTTTAAACAATGAAACAAATTGGAGATGCTTACACTGGCGGGCATGCCTCGATGTTACAAGCCTGCTGACGTACACTGGGTCTCCTCAATCCATCACACATGGCCGGATCCTGTGATCTGAACGTCCGCCATTCGATACAGTCTACCTTGGTGTGTTGAATTCCTGACCAAAAAAATAAGATTCAAGAAAAAAGTACATTTCAAGTTACAAATTACTTACAAGGATACAAACTCATTTCAAAATTTCCAGTTGGTCTTTTGGTGCATTTTTGGCAAATGTTTCGCCCCTATCAAATTTTTAATCGTAATTAAAGGGAGGCAGTGAAAAATTCCTGTTAGCGTTTTAAACCACAATGTACGCTCCTTGAGTTCAAAGCCTTTAATTAAACCAAAACGTCTTCTTATTTTCAGATGACAGCATATGTATATAAGTATAAAAGTCCAGCTCAAAATTGTCAAGAGGCATCTTTGATTTGGTATCTGAAAGACTATTATGTAGAAGACAACAAACAATACAAAAGGACACTATTTTGTAAATATAGACTACAAACTGCTCTTGAGGAAAACTACCAGTTAATAGATATCTATGACCATCTGGTTTCAAAATCTACCTTTTGAAATGAAATCAACTCTACCAATATCTGCAAAAAGCTATAAAAGCTGCTTTAAAAAGACTTGTCCCACTGTAGATAAAATCTAGAGATCACAATCTCTCTCCAATTATTGCTTTAAATTTATCAGACCAGCGTTCTCTGGAGATCTCACTCTAGATCAGGTGTATTTTTGTTCTCATTTGCATTGTCAATGCAAATTATAACCGACACCCAACACCAACTTCAATTTGAGGGGTAGAAATCGCACACCCCAAGCGCTAGAAACTGAATCCCTGGGAGAAATGCAGAGGGCATGTTGCAAGGTGAACATACAACACCTTGTTTAGCTCAACTCTTGAACTTTTTTTATCACATTGAAATTTTCTCCAAAATTTGATTTATCCTGACTGACAGCGACATACATATCTGGGGGCTTGTCAAAACTTCACCAGACATGACAAAGAAATTTGTTCCTCAAACCAGGAGGGAGTTGGGTGATGTGCTTGTTTGCTTTTCAATTTTTCACTTTCTGTAAACTTTTTTGGTCACTAGAAACTTGCATGTGTAACATGACCAGTACAGTTGGTTCGCAGTGGGTGTCAGTGCTATGTGGCAAATGATTAAGTAAACGGACACACAAGGATTCCAATAATATAATGCAAGACAATGATCATTTTACCCATAATTTGCAAGTAGCTGTATTGTCCCTCAACATTTCCACTGGAAAGTTCATTGTACAGGCTTCCCTAAAGATCTAGTGGTCACTTAAGGTCTAAGGGTCCCCAAAGGACCGTGTTTTTATCACAGCTCTGTTTCTTATAACTGCTCTTCTACAAGAGCAACTCCTTATGAATTTAATTTCTCTTGAAGTTTCCACATCCTGAAAATCCTTCATTCTGCCATCCCCTCTACCAAACTCACCAATCCCTAATCACACCCATAGGTTGTGAAAGGAGGGCAAGTTGGCATGTGAAAGATAAACCAAGTGTGGCACTGCCACCGCCATGGCTGTATTTTTAACCTCTTTCTTTTCACTAAAAGTAACACAGTTATCGCCCAAGCCTCCCGGATCCGATGTCTGAGATGGCGGGCTCCACAAGTTGAAGACTTCCTCTGAGCTACTCACCCAAAGCCACTGCCGAGTTTGTTTGTTATGGTTTGTTTTGGTTGGTATTTAAGCAAATAAGTTTGGTTTTAATTTCTCTGGGGAACTAAGTCCTCTTCCAGACAAGAAAACAAGGAAGGCTGTTAAATTGGAAAAGGCAGGTTACAGCGCATTCTTGGGATAAACAGTGGTTATTTTTTACTGCGTTACCACACTTACTTTGGCTTCCTGATTTTGCAAACTATTTCCCCCTATCATTCACCACTTGAAATATGTATTTTTAGCAAGGCTCAAAACACGTACAGAAATAGTGTGGTTCAAGGAACAGGGGCATGCCGTGAAGTACACGTACAGTAAGAGTGCTTCTCTCACACACATAACTACTGTGTGAAATTTTGGACAGGGATTTCACAGTTCACACTATACCAGGTCTGGGAAAAACATAGAGTTCTGGGTTAACGGCAATCACATCTTCTAAGAAACAAAATTGTAAAGCGAGATCAATTCGGGTGATGAATGAACATAAATCCCCTGATGTCGGGCTGCTAATATTGTTTGGTAAAGAATTGTTTGTGTTACAAGTATTATAATTGTATGTAGGGGGACTATCTCATCTGACTGTAGGGATATGTTGTTCATTTACAAATATATTTATTTATTTATTTACGTCACTCAGTTGAAGATAAAACACTGATGTGTTCAAAGTTCATACCATAGTACATGCAGTACTTTTTTTTTCATTTAAAGGGAATGTACATCATTGGCTTTTGCTGTAATTTTCAGAAATGAACTATTTGAGGGGTTAGTATAATAGATTACATATTGTTACACTGACATGTTTGATGTTTTGTGTTCGCAAATGCTGGAACAACCAAGAAAAACAAAAATGTTCAAGTAGTCTGGTTCCCTGACTCCACTAAAGATAAAATGGATCCATTTATAGATGCCGGAAAATTGTAAGGTAAGGGAACCAGTCTAGCTGACCTACACCCGTTCATGAACATGTAACCAATATCACACAAAATTTGCACTGAAAAAATGGTAAATTTTGAGCAGTAGTTGCTAAATAGGTAGGTTTTTCCAACGGTGGTCGGCCGACCACCGTTGGAAATGTATACAAAAATACCATTTTCTTGAAAATGACTTCACACCAGGTGCCATAATTTTACAGGATGCTTTAGACTGTCATTTACAAACATCCTAGTAAGGTATTTCGTAAAAACTTGGTAGTTTTATTTTTTGATGTTTGCAAATGTTGTATATTCCCTTTAAACACCAGGATATCTTTTAAGCACCAGGATATGAGATTTGAAGTACTGTCACATGCACATCATCAAGTGAATTAATAGAGCATAAGGGATCAGTCTCCATTTTCCAGCGCTAAAAATGTCCCCATGGGCCATCCAGAAATGGATCTCCAGTAAACGATTCCCCCATTCCATCAAGACAAGAAGGAAAGGTTTTAATCTCGGCACTTATCACAGCCACTTATTTGCTCATTGCCTCTAGCTAGAAAGACCAATTGACATTCTTGAACCTCGTGAGCCTGAAGATTGAAAAGTTATTCTGGGTCAAGTGCATCCCCTTAAACTAACTTTCAAAATATACAATGAATCGTGGTGCCACTGTACTCATATTTTTTTTACCACCAGATTGAAGCAGTAGAAGTGTTAAACCTACCACAATGTAGTATTCAGATAACTGTTTCACAATCTGTTTCAGTTATTGGCGATTGGTTGATCATTTTTGGCAACTGTGTATGGGCAGTGATCACTTACGATTACAACACTACCTACCAGGCGCGGTTCTACGGGGGGGGGGCTAGGGGGGGCTGTAGCCCCCCCCAAAATTTTGTCTAGCCCCCCCCAAAATAAATTCCGTAAAAAAAAAAAATTGCATTAACAAAAAGGAGGATTGTGATGTACATGCGAACGGTCTCCCCCTAAAGAAGAAATAGCCGTGACAAGGGTGCATTAGTTAATATAGTGCAAGGGTGGATCCAGGAGGGGGGGGGGGGGCCAAAGGGGGCCATGGCCCCCAAAACGAAACCAATTTTTTTTTTTTAAGTGACATCGCAATAAAGGCAGGCAATGAGTACACCACCATCTTTTCCTCAAAAACAATTGGTTAAAGTGGTCAGAAATTGCCTCAGATCGCACCACAGAGCATCTAGAATCCAAAAATTGTTCGGGGCCCTTAAGCGGGCCCCGAACCCCACGCCGTAATTTTTTGGACCCACTTTTTGGGGGACCAAAATTTTTTTTGGCCCCCCCAAAAACAAATTGTGTTCTGGATTCGCCCTTGCTATAGTGTGAATGATTTTAGGATTTTATTGGCGCTCCCCATTGAAAATATGGCATGAGCTCCGCCCCCCCTATTGATTTTCGGAGGCCTAAGTGTCTGGAAAAAATAACCAGTCAACATTTCAGCACGCCTCCCTGAAAAAAATTCTGGATCCACCGTGCTAGCCCCCCAAAAATATTGGTTCTAGAACTGCACCTGCTACCTACCTTAACCATCACCTACAAAATGTAGGCCTTAAAAACCGACAGCTTAAACAGACATATTGTCATTAGACTAGTCAAAGCATAAAAATAAATATGGTTTTTGTAAGCATACGCACATTACCTTAAGTTATAGAGGTCTATTTACACATAGGCAGCTTTGTTTCAACAATGCTGCACGTGTTTTTTGACATGCACAAATCAACGAGCATTTTTTGCGACAAAGTTGTGTGTACTTCATATTGCACAATTTTTTTTTCTTCATATTTTTCACTGAATTCCAAGCTAATCACATTTCAATAGCTCTTTGATCTGGGCATAAAACTTACATGTATATGCCCAATTGTTATCCTTCCTTCACAGTGTTGTGTTCTGGTGGTGTCTTTTGGCCTTATAGCATAAGTATGATGCTTTTCTTATGAATCGTTTAACAAATCTTGTTTTTGTGGACACACGTCAAGTAACATTGCTGTACAACATAGACATTGTGACAAAATTGCATAATTTGTGTTAAAGGCCATGATATAAAAGTGCCATGAAATTCTCAGAGGTTCATTATAATTTGATTACTTTAATGATGCAGCAAATGTTTCGCAGAATTTATATGTTCTGCAAGAATACCAAAAAGTCAGTCTCCTTTACCACAAAGAGACCCTCAGGGTATAAAATTTCCCACTCAACTAGGCCCAACCGCAAACACACATATCCTTTTCTGATAATCCCCTTAATTTCTCCCAGCATTTTGCAAACTACAATTGAGCAATATTTTGCCAAACATATGCCATTACTAAATATACTCAACATGTTCCATACCATTCATCAGTGGGGAAAAAAGGTACGTAATCCTTCCTCGGGGCATTATAGCCTATGCAATACACAAACTCTGTATATCTTAGTTTGAGTACTGCCATGTTACTTCCGCCATATGCACTTCATCAACCAAATGGATTTCTGCCAAGTT